TTAATAATTTTTGTTTAGAAACTTATTGCTAATTAATTTTTAGATTAGATAGAGATCCTGATAATGCAGAATTATTGGCGGCGATTCACCAAAAATTTAAGGACGCTGCGAAACGAGGCGCTGAAAGCTCTTTGATGAGAGGACCACTGCTGAATTCAAAAGTATGAGCGAATAATTTGTAATCATGACAATATGACCTTTTACTTAAACATATTTTTGTAATAGGTTGTTGAAACCGCAATAATTTTACATGGGTTAGAAATTGCAAGGGGCACAACTGATACTTTTGTCATAGCAGCCGCATCGCAATGTGTACAAAAGGTAAATAATAATTTGTTGAATATGTATAGTTTCTTAATATTTTAAAATGTACAAAGTCCAAAACAGTTTATATAAATTTGCATTAATTATAGCTATTGAATCAAGGTGGGTGTGAACTTTTAGAGCCACTTATGTTTGTAGAAATAACATTACCTGAGGAAAAACTTTCTTCAGTTATGGCTGATTTATCTAATAGGAGGGCCACAATACGCAATGTCGTCAATAGAGGTCAACAAAAGGTATGTAGTAAATTTTTTAACTCTTTTTTTTACTTTCATTATTTATTATTGTAATTCTGAATAATATAGTAATTTATCACAGCAGTGCGTGAACTCTTTTAAATCTATCCTTAAAGTACCATTAAAACAAAGACTTTTTTTTTTAATTTTGGTGATTCTGTCTATTTATTTTATAGAGTTTAGATGCTATTGTGCCATTAAGTGAGATGCTAGGATATGCTAAAATTTTGAGAACAATGAGTTCTGGCCAAGCGTTTTTCACAATGCAACCGCATGGATACAGCCCAATGAATCCCAGAGATCAAGAGATTGCTATAAGAAAAGCAAATGGTTTGTGAAATTATAATTCACTTACAATAGGTAAATTTAGGGCCAATTATTTTAATTATACAAATAAATTATGTAGAATATATGTATATTTATAATGTAAATTATTAAACCTTTTTATTTAACATAACAATTTGTCGTAATTTGTAAATTCGTAAATCGATTTTTTGCTGAACAATATGAATGTATTCCATTTCAATGCTCGATAAAATAGATTATCATACTTTGGTATTAAGGTTTGGTTTGGGTAAATGCAGTCTCTTAACACGGACATGTGGTTCAAGAGAATCGCTTCCAGTATTTGGATTCGGAAATGAATCCTCTAAATCTTTGATATAATTTTCACGTCGTGTATTCATATCAGCGATCGAACTTCTTTTACCACGTACATTTGATGCACCAAAAAATTTATCATAAAGTGCATCTCGTTTTCTCAATGCATGAATGGTCTGAACTATATCTAGAAGTCCCAAATCTATGTCATCACTTCCATCTTCTGGCTGACCTGGATTAAATAATATAAATTATATTTAAGAATATAAATATTTGATATTATTAGTTATTAATTGTATTAAGTATTTTTACAAGACACAAAAGTATAGACAAATTATAATCATGAAATGAAATAATTAAATATTAAGATATACCTTCTTGTGCTGGTTTTTCTTCATTTTCATCACCTACAGTTTTTGCATCAGTAGCAATAGCTTTTTCTACTCTATCTTCACGTACATTTTCTTCTTGTTGATCATTGTTCTTAGCAGCTTCTATATCCTTGACATTGTCGGAATCCAATTTTGCTTTACTTTCTTCATCTAATTCTGTAATAGACATTATTTTTATATAAAATATTTAATTATTCGCATATGCTCATAGATTTTAATAAATGATGATTGTAGAAACCTGTTTCCTTATCACCATCTTTTAATTGATTTTTATGTTTTTCATCAATTTCCGAAGTTTTACTAGAATCTTTCCCTAAATCTTCATTCTCTTCTATTCTACCAGCTTCAAATTTGTGATCAGCTTTCGGATTTGATGATTTTTTAGATTTATGAGAATTTTTATGGCATTCGGTCGATCCGCCATCGGATGCAACTTCCTTTTTGTTTTCACCATTTACTTTTTCGTTTTCATTACTTTCAGGATTTTCTTCTTCACCTTTATCACTAATATCGCCTTGATTCTGATCATCACCTGAAATAAATATATTATATTATAAATATATATTTTATAAAATTGATGATTGATTATTATTTCTGAAACTATCAGGTATATATTATATACGACCTAATGAATGGAACCAATTTATAAAAATTATTAGTTGTCCACGTGCATTGTTCTCATATCTAATTCATTATTAATGATTTTTAAACAAAATATACAATCGACACTTATAATGAAATAATAAATAAATACGAATGATTGATAGGAAAATATACAATATAGAGAAAATTTACAAGTCAAATCATCGAGCGATAAATAGTTTGATAATCAATGATAATATTGGTCTTGGTGGTGGATGACCTCTTTCTTATGCGTACGTTGCAGATTCTTGTAAATCGTTCATACAGAATTATTTTATTTATTTGTTAGACAATCAGAAAATACAATAATTTGCTATAAGTCTTTGTGGTGTGTTGATATCGAATGATAATTTTATTATAACCTTAATACAATTGCAAGGACTAATTCATATCGACTAATAATATACTTGTATTATTTCTTTATGACAATTGTGCACTGAGGAAAAGGTTTTCGGCTTGTTATATTTGTACTAAAGTTCGCTCCTCGCTTAAAGATTGAACAATTGATTGTTTATCTTTTTTAAACGGATATATTAATAGATAAAATATAAGTTTTTAATTGAATTTGTTTTTTTCCTTAAATGTATAATTCTATACGAGCCTATTATATATAAAATGTAACATAGAAATTGATATATAATTGTTATTGCACGTTTTTTGGTGTCTATCTACCCCTATGCAATAAAATAATTAATATGTACTCATTTTAGAACAATAATAATTTGTCAACATTATTTAATAATTAATATGTCAATATAACAACTGCGGTAAATAAAAATATGACTAGTAAATTTTTCATTGATAACACCGGTATTAATACCGGAATCCCGGTATTACAAATTTCAAATATTGAATACCGGTATTTAGATTTTAATACGGTATTGGAACCCTAGTCAGAGCTATGTGTTGCATAGATAAGGAAAAGGATATGTTGGATGTAGCAAAACATCATCCTCCTAATCAAGCACTAATAATTTTTGTCGAGTGGCCAAAATATCGCATTTGCCTTTGCAAAAATAAAAAAGCTAAATATGATAAAAGTTTTCGGCTTGTTTTTCCATCTTTCAATGAACGTATTTTACATTTGGACTGCTCAGCAAACCCAAATGATCAATTAAACCATATAAGAGGAAAAGCCGCATTTATTTAGTTGCTAAACTAATAGTCAATTTCATCTCTAAAAAGTAAAACGTGTGTTCTTAAAAGGTTTACCTTTAGATTTAGCATCATGCTTAATCTCATCACCACACTCACAATCATTATTTTGTTCAACAACTGCAGTGTCATCATGATTATACCGGCTTTCATTTGTAATTGCCGCAATTTGAGAGTTATCATCATCTACAGAATTTCTCTTACTCTCATCTTTTATAGCGGCAATTTTCGATTGAATTCGTTCATCCACCTGCTTTTGAAAGCGCGCATCGCCTTCATCGACTAAGAAAGGCAGAACATTTATTTCTTTCGGAACCATAGATGTGGCTACAGCTACAGACAATAAATATCTTGACTATGTATGAAAATTAATTGTCAAAATAATACGTTATATACACAAAGTCACCGCATCTTAAAGTACAAAACGTAAACTAGACAAAAAAGTCGTTTATTACAGAAAAACATAATAAAATTATTTGAAATTTGGACATTATATTTTTTGAAGAAAATAATTCATCATTATATTTGTATATATGATTATTTCTTACTTGCAATCAGACCATCACCCAACGGACTCGATGCAGCTTCGTTGCCTTTTTTTAAATCTGCTTCCATTTCCGCATTGAACTGTTCAAGTTGTTTTAATTCACGCTTTTCATCCTGCATTGTGCCAACTGAAGGATTCCATACTAAAGGTACTGATTTTGAACCTCCTATAATTAATGAGAAATAATTATATTTTAACTAGTGGGGCGCATGGCATCGTGCCTTAAGGCAAATTGCTGAAACTTCCAGTACCGTAATTAAAAATCTTAGTACGAAACCCAAAAAAAAATTACACAAAATGTGTACACATTATTGAAATCTCTATAAAATATCTGATAATTTGATGTGATAAACATTTTTGACCGCCAAATGACATTTTTTTTGAGTGTCATCACATTGAGAGTCCATAACCGCTGGACCTGCCTTCCCAAAGAATTACTCATCAGTTTTTAATCTTGTCAACACAAGTAAAATGTTTTATGAATTATTACAATCGGAACGGCTAGACCTGCCTTCGCCAAAAACTAATAAGCACGTCTCATTATCAGTACGAATCGAATGTTTCTTGAATTATTCAAATCGGTTGATCGGTGTTCCCGGGTGATTCAAATCGTCGACGAAAATTTGTATCCGTCCATTTCTTCTCATGTTTGCCAAAATATTCAGAAACTTTTGAAATGTATACGTTTTAAAAGATATATAAAAATTTATAAAGATGTATAAAAATTTACATTTTCGATTATTTTGCGATAACTTACTCTTCGAGAAGTTAAAAATGTTATACGTACCATAATACACTATATTATTAAAAAAAAGAAGCTCCAAAAACGTGTTATTAATTAATAAGTGTATGGATATGTTAATTTATTTAAACTAATAAAAAATAAATTACCATGTTCGAGATTTTGATCATCCGATTCAAACAAATTAGATGTTTCAGCATCACCTGCCAATCTTTTTTCCAATTTCATTAAATTCATTCCCATAACACAATGCAATGTGAAAAATAATATAAATGTTAGCAATATGCTCTTCATTTTGGCTCAAAAGCGTTAAAACTAAAATATTAATACTGATATTAAAATATTATATAAATCATTAGTTAAAAATATTATTGAATTTTTATAAAGCAAAAAAATTGATGTGCACTTGTTTTAGAACATAGATATGCTTGAACATAATTGACAAATGATTGCGAAAAATTATCATATTTACAAATATTTTTTACTATCCATAAAAAAGATTTATTTTTCATCTAATTATAGTTCAGTTATTTATATCGGCTTAATTAGCTTCCCGTAGGGTATTTAATGGACCAAAATAAAAAATAAAATTTTTTGCATATCTTTACGTTTTGAAATTTTCTGAACATTTTGGCATACCTCAGAAAAAATGGATGTGTGTGTGTTCTGTGTCCGCATTTTTTCGTTCACTTTTTCGGGCGCATGGATCAACCGACTGAATGGTTCAAAAAACATTTGATTATGATTGGATTTCTATTGATAGGGAGATGTGCTGATTAGTTTTTGACAGAGGCAGGTTCAGCCGTGACGGAGATACGAAGAAAAGAATGCAGAAAATGGAATTCGAGTTTTTGAGAGAACGGATTATTCGATTGGAATGGTGCGAAAAACATTGATTAGGTTTTGGGAAAGGCAGGTCCAGGCATTCCGAATATAAAGAGCTAAATACACAAAAATGGTAGTTTTTGAGAGAACTAAGCATCCGATTTGAATTATTCAAAAAAAATCTTCTTGTGTTCACAAAACAATTGCTTTTGGAAGAAAAAAATTGTATTAATTTTTTTTTTCATAAAAATGTTTGTGTATCGAAAATAATTCAGATTTTAATTTTTATTATGGCTAAAGTTTTAAAGCTCACTTGAAATAATTTTAACTTTGCTATTCAGATTATATAATTCTTATATACATATATATTAACAATGTTAGAGTCGTTAGAGTCCCAGTAAACCACAAACGTTTAATTAAGTTATAATATCGTAGCACAGAAGAAACGTCGTTATGCATTTGGCGG